AAAAACACACTCGTCAGAAAGCTGAACGTCTCGATGGAGACAATCTTGTTTGGTGCATCTTAGACTCGACGAGGTGAAAGTATAGATGGTAAGATGATTGTTAAATGGTATGGGTATACACCTACATAATGTACTTACACCAAGTACTGATACGTACATACATAATGTACTTACACCAAGTACTGATACGTACATACATAACGGGATGAACAGCTTGGAACTAGCTAAGTAAACAGTAAGATTGATGAAAGGTAACACGGTATGGCTTTATAAATGAGGGTACGACATCCTTACTTTGTTATAGTGTTTATAACAATAGGCCCCCTACCTTGTCTAGACATGTAAAGGGAGATGACGTCACACTGAACAATATCGATTGATTAAGTGAGCTTAAAATACTGTAAAGATGTATTTTTTCCCTCATTGTTAAGTTTCAAATCAGCTAGCACTCTTATACTTCTTTTAAAATTAAGAGGGATGCAACATTTGTACGGTGCAGTCCTAGAAGGACGTTACATTTGTATTGTACAGTCCTAGAAGGACCACGGACTTAGATAATTCCGTGGAAGGACGTAACATTTGTATGGTACAGTCCTAGAAGGACGTAACATTTGTATTGTACAGTCCTAGAAGGACGTAACATTTGTATGGTGCAGTCCTAGAAGGACGTTACATTTGTATGGTGCAGTCCTAGAAGGACGTAACATTTATATGGTACAGTCCTAGAAGGACGTAACATTTGTATGGTGCAGTCCTAGAAGGACGTTACATTTGTATTGTACAGTCCTAGAAGGACGTAATATTTGTGTGGTGCAGTCTTAGAAGGACGTAACATTTGTATGGTGCAGTCCTAGAAGGACGTTACATTTGTATTGTACAGTCCTAGAAGGACGTTACATTTGTATTGTACGGTCCAAGAAGGACGTAACATGTGTATGGTGCAGTCCTAGAATTACGTAACATTTGTATCGTACAGTCTTATAAGGACGTAACATTTGTATGGTGCAGTCCTAGAAATGTTGCAGTCCCAGAAGGACGTAACATTTGTATGGTGCAGTCCCAGAAGGACGTAACATTTGTATGGTGCAGTCCTAGAAATGGTGCAGTCCCAGAAGGACGTAACATTTGTATGGTGCAGTCTTATAAGGACGTAACATTTGTATGGTGCAGTCCTAGAAATGGTGCAGTCCCAGAAGGACGGAACATGTGTATGGTGCAGTCTTATAAGGACGTAACATTTGTATGGTGCATTCCTAGAAGGACGCAACATTTGTATGGTGCATTCCTAGAAGGACGCAACATTTGTATTGTACAGTCCTAGAAATACGTAGCATTTGTATTGTTCGGTCCTAGAAGGACGTAATATTTGTTTGATACAGTCCTAGAAGGACGAAACAGCTGTGTGGTACAGTCCTGGAAGGACGTTACATTTGTATGGTGCAGTCCTAGAAGGACGTAACATTTGTATGGTGCAGTCCTAGGAGGACGAAACAGCTGTATGGTGCGACCCATGAAGGATTTTAAATTGGTTTGATTTGTTTGTTATTTACGTCCTATTACCAGCTATAGTCAATAAAGGACGTGCCAGGTTTTGGTGATGGAGGAATGCCGGAGTTCCCAGAGGAAAACCACCGACCTACATGTACGGTCAGTACCTGGCGACTGCCCCACGTAGGTATCGAACCCGCGACCCAGTGGCGGGGGACTAGTGGTAGCAGAATGCCAGACGCCATAATCAGTTGGCCACCGCGGCTGGGAGGAAGAAAACACTGTCTGTATGGTGTGATCCAAGAAGGACGAAACATTATGAAGCAGTGTAAACCATGTTTGTCTAACTGTTTCTACATCAAACTTTATAGATATAATAATGAGGGAGTCTTAGGTTCGTCTGGCTAGATACAATGTGGTATATAGATATATAATGATATTGAGAAATCATATCCAGATCATAACTCATTACAAAGACTCTTTTTTTAGGATTCCAGGGAGATGTTGTTAAAATGCTACAGGAGGAAGCTGCAAAGAAAGGAACATGTGGTAGCAGAATGCCAGACGCCATAATCAGTTGGCCACCGCGGCTGGGAGGAAGAAAACACTGTCTGTATGGTGTGATCCAAGAAGGACGAAACATTATGAAGCAGTGTAAACCATGTTTGTCTAACTGTTTCTACATCAAACTTTATAGATATAATAATGAGGGAGTCTTAGGTTCGTCTGGCTAGATACAATGTGGTATATAGATATATAATGATATTGAGAAATCATATCCAGATCATAACTCATTACAAAGACTCTTTTTTTAGGATTCCAGGGAGATGTTGTTAAAATGCTACAGGAGGAAGCTGCAAAGAAAGGAACATAATTATACATTATTTCATTCTTATATATACATATATATATATATTAAATTTTACGCCAAATTGTCCACCAATCTTGTGTATAAATTTTACGCCAAATTGTCCACCAATCTTGTGTACTTCGTGACGTCACGTTACTATTGTAGTGTGATGACATGTAATTGTGACGTCACGACGTTGTTCTCTTTTGAATAAACCTGAAGAGCCCTGTGAAGGGTGAAAGCAGCTAGTTTTTTAGTCGGTCGTTAATTTTATTTTTTCTATATATATATATATATATTCAAGTTATATGTATAAAAGCTTTTGTGTGTTTTTTTTTTTTCTTTTTTTTCTGTTTTCTTCTTCTTCTTTAAGCTTACATCAAGATATGGAGTAACTCCTTTCAATTTAATTAAAGAATTACTACATTACTTGCAGGAGTTGGTGTAGCCCTACTTACAAATTATATATCTATTTGCTGAAATTGGCTTTTGATCCTTAACAGTGTGTGATGGCTAGTGTGCTATCCATATGGACTGTATGGCCTGTATCTGTTGGGGGAATAAATCCAATATCACCAAATATTTATACTCAACAGTTTACCTTATATGAATACCAGTAACTCATTGTCTAATACTTGATACTATTCACTGAAGATAATAGTCTAGTAAATATCTCAAATTAAATATCCCTAGTGAAAGGGTTACTATATCTCATGAATACTGAACAAGTCATCAAGGAGTTACTTCCCCTTATCCCAAACATCATATCAATGTACAAATATATGTCTGTGTTTCTTACCACCTGTTGTCACTTTAAGGAGAGGACTTAGATAGGATATGCCTGATGTCTGATCCTATTGACTATTGCTTATATTGTCAATAAAATTTGTTGAAATGGAAATTGAAAGAAAGGGGTGTATTCCAGTGATGAACCATATAAGTGCTATGTTGGAATTCTTTTTGATGAAATTAAAATCAAAGAGGACCTTGTTTATGATAAACATTCTGGAGAGCTTGTTGGATATTGTAACTTGGATAACATTGGCAACCAGATTCTTGAGCTAGAAAAGGTTTCAAATAATACAACAAGTGCAACAGCCAAATACATGCTTTTATTGATGGTTCGTGCTGTTTCAACAGACTTAAAGTTTCCTCTTGCCGGATTCGCTACCACCAGCATTACTGCAGATTTCTTATATCCAATTATATGGAAAGCTGTTGATGTTGCTGAGATGATCAATTTGAAAGTGCTGTTTTTGACATGTGATGGTGCATCGTCCAACCGAAAGTTTTTCGATATGCATAAAGTGACTGACGATCAAGTGCTAGTTTATTCAACTGTTCATCCACGAGACAAGAGTAGACATTTTTTTTTAATTTCTGATGTCCCTCATTGAAGACCATCAGAAACTGTTTCAGCAACTCCTATTCCCACAAGAACACCCGAAAACTGTGGAAAGACATATCATGGCTGCACATTTTGAAGTTGTATGAAGAACATTGTGAACTTTCAATTTACAACCCTTGTCCAAAACTGACACGTTCACGTGTAGATATGAAATCTTTTGGATGCATGAAAGTTAACCAGTAGCACAAGTGCTAAGCAGTTCTGTAGCAAATGCATTGGAGGATTTGTATGACGATTCTGCGAGTGAAACTGTTGAATTCATCAGAAACTTTAACATTTTTTTTGATTGTTTGAATGTACACAGCTTATATGAAGGAAGAAACAAAAGAAATCCTGATATGTTCCCTTCTAAAGAGGTCACCGATCCTAGATTGAATTGGCTAAAAAATGACTTCTTAGAATATCTTGAAAACTGGAATGTATGCGTAGCAAACCGACCAGGACGTACGGGACTCTTCACCCAGAAACAACGCAATGAAATGAAGCTAAGTAAGCAGACAATAGGTCTGAAAATCCGTGTTAATTCCATTACTGAATGTTTGAAAACTTTCAATCAGGACCCTATTGAACAGCACTTTGGACAGTGCCGTCACAGAGGACGGAACAACACTGACAAACCCCACAGTGTATGAGGTACGCAACATTATCAGGCGCGGATTTAGGGGGGGGGGGGGGGGGGGGGGGGGNCCCCAAACCCCCCTTACGGAGAGGGGGTATGTATCCTCCCCCTCCTCGCGCTACGCGCTCGGGCTGCTGCCTTTCGCAGCACACCGTTAACTATTGAGAAAAAAATTATCGGCCCCCCTTTTAGGAAATCCTGGATCCGCCCCTGATTATGACATCGATGTGTTATATACGTCTCTGCTGGGACTAAGTTACGCTCACTTTCGCTCTCTCCACCCCTGGAATATGTCATAGCAAAATGCTTTGTCGCCCACGAAATAACGCCAAGCGAAACGGAATAACGAAAAGACGAAACCCGCCAAAGCGAAATAACCCCAAAGCTAAATGACATCTCATATCCTCTTGTCTAGTATAAATAATAACTTACTGAATTACAAAATACAAATCTAGTTCTTGGTCTTAGTAAACCACAGGTACCACAACATTATCCAAGCATCAACAGAAGAATGAAAAGTTATAATATTTTAATTTCTTAAGCATTACTTCAAAAGTATTTTGTGTTGTGCTACCTGTGGTTACCTCCCTTCGCCATGTAACTCTTCTCAACAATAATGACGTCACAGTTCCATGGACCAATCAAAATTGTCCAAACAACACTGTGCCAATATTTCGCGCGAATTGCTGAAGAAGGGAATTCTACATGTGGTAAGTTGTGGATGAAAATGAATCCTTATGTTTTGATCATGATATTTTGTATGATTTCTTCAAATGCCACATTTGTCTGGTACGATATTCCCCCAATTTCTACTGTGTTTTACATTTCGGACACACAGGAAGGAAATCAAAAACAGTTTCGGTCTCTCACATGAGCGGGTTCGGTCTACATGACTGCTACTCCAACAATGTTTGAGGTTTTACACGGCGAAAAACTTTTGACAGTCGGCAAAATCATATCCGATTGAAAAAAGTCCGACCAGCGGCCTCTCATGTTATGGGAGTACATGACTGCTAGATTACAAAGTTAACGCCGGCCAGTTATATCTGCAGAGTAATCACGATTTAACAATCAACGTAAATTCGCTTTTATTTGTAGTTACACCGTTACTTTTGACAGGTTAGACTAGCGTATGTCATTAACGCTTTACTGTCGTCTAACACATGAATTTGGGACAGACATGTCATATATTGCTGATCCAAAGCTTCTGTACCGAACAGTCTCGACAGCCTGTGCTATATAATATGATTAATGGACCAGTCGGATACGTCGTCATTCTGATCTGCTGTTGAATTGTCTTCCAATGGCATACAATGAACATGTGAAGCATATCACATTTTACCCTAGAGGACGAGATATACTAGTCATCCACAACTAAATCTGCCCCATGTATTAAATGTAATATCATCAGCATCCGGAACAAGTCCACATTTTTCTATCAACTGGACAATACCATACTTCAATACGTCGCGAACACTACATATTTAGAAAATTACATCTCAAATGACCTGACCTGGGGTTTCCACATCAAGAACATCACCAAAAAAGGGAACTTGACTCTAGGTTTCATAAAAAAACCCACTTAAGGTGGCTCGACACATCGTCATCAGCGTCCATTTTCGTGACATATTTCTGGAAAAAGTACAGCTAGGACTCAATTATCTTAATCGAAATGTGCATGTACACCGTGTCGTCATTTCCGTATTGCGTATCGGGCATTCAATATCGTAGTGCAAATTATAGTAACACCTGCTGGGCCGTTTTCGTTTAAACGGCTGCTTTCAGGCGAGTCTTGAGAAAGCCTTGCAAGGCCTGCATACACATTTGCAGGTCCGCCAGGATTTACACCCGAAATTGTTACATTTATAAACGGTCAAACCGGTTGTTCCGCATAAACGAACAGGCCCATGGTAAACAATAGTACACGTGCGTGCCGATGATATGTCAACACCCGATATCAAGATTTTACCGGGAAATGTATACTCACACGTACTTCAGGAATAAAGCTTTCCAATTCATAGACATAAACAGACTCACGGGAAGACAGTGACATGAGACCAGATGACCTCAAGAAGGTCATATAGGAAACACATGGAATGCGGACGTACCAACCTCACATGTGCATATCGCGTGTTTACAAGAGTTCATAAGCTAGAGGTCGTTACGATTTTCGCTGTTGAGGGAGTGTCGCTCTGTCGATTAAAATCGTGTTTACAAATGTAGTCTACTAGCTTACTCTGTGAAAATAATGTTTTGTAAAATATCAAGATACCTATGAAATGCATGTGTGAGTGCACGTGAGAACGGTATACCATGCGATAGCCTCTGGTCTGACATGTAATTATAAATATACCGTGAGTTAGCGGACTGTGGAATGATGTCCAAAGTGTACATGACTGAGGGTAATTTGGTTCCATTAAAGAACAATAAATTGATAATTTTGATACCATATTTTTTTTATTTATTTCCATCATTTTTGTAAAATGTAAACAGAGACAACTGTCATTGTGTAAATGTCACCCCTCTGCAAAAAGTTCCGATTTTTTTCAAGGAAGATAACTCTCACCCGGATCAAAGTGATTGCAAAATGTAAAATAAATTAATTATAAAGCCAGTGTGTATATTTTGTTCAATTTCCCACTCTACATGTATAGAACTTTGTGTCCTGGGTGCTTTTAGCTTGTAGATAATCACTTTTATCCGTACAAATTCAATAAAAAACACTTTGTGTAACGTGTTACATATTTTGCGATAAAATAAAATATTTGTAGGGTTAATTAGAAATGCTTCTTTTCATTTTATTATTGTTGTTATTGTTCCGAACAATGCCACACACAAAAAAAAACGGAAAATATTAGAATTGACGAAAATTCGATTTTTTGGTATTTTTTCCAAAAAATTCCCCAAACTATCGGAATGTTTAGATTTTCATAAAATCAACTCGACATAGTTGCATAACAATTATATGAAAGTTTCAACGAATTTTGCTGGTTAATTGCGAAAGTGTGGAGCCACCTTAAAACACTGTCACATGTGAAGTAAATGCTTAGCTTTCATCGCTCTAATAAGATCTACCCTAGAGTATGGCACTGTGATATGAGACCCCTGCTATGAAAAAGACTTTGAGGGCGTTATTCTTTCAACTGAATCCAATAAATAACACAATGAAAGTTTGATTCATGAATAAAATATTAGTAGTGTTATATAAGGGAAAATATCCAGACTTTGCCGTTCAACACAGAAATTTGAATTTTCGAAGTTCAATTTATAGAGGTTTAACTATTGAGAGTTTCAATTTCTGTTGCTCAATCTATTACAAGGTGTATTTTTGTATTTTTCAGAAATTTCCAGAGATCTACAGATGTCCCAGGAAAGATGATGGTTACGGCTGCCAGTGACAGCAATATGAATGTCATAAACATCTTGTCAACACTTCAGTCGAAAATTTCAAGTAAAGATGACAGAATCAAAGCTTACACAAACTTCAGCAAGTAAGGACATTTATACATATTTATATTTTCCATGTCCATATCTGTCTTCTCAATAACCTCAAAATAAGACAGTTGGTTGTACCTCCCACAGGGACCTGGGAATTTGTTACAGCTAAATTTGGACCTAAACTAAGGTGTTCATAGTAATTTTACATGTTTTAGGGATTTAGATCAACTTTTGATAAAAATTACACCCCATTGATCATATATACGAGAAGAGAGGAAAGCCCTCTGTGTTGAAATGTCGACCCTACCTTTTTTTCTTGCATCAAAAACAACATTTCTAGTTGATCTACAGGAAAACACACGCCATTTCAGAGTTTCAAAGTTTTTCACAGTCAGCCAGACACTTTTTTTAATATTAATGAGATTTAATAAAAAAAAAACCCACGACAGTTAAAATGGTGCAATCATATCTTGCAAGGAAAACCATTTTCATCTTGTGTCTTTTCCTGCCTCACAGTCACATGAAGGAGGATGAGTTGAGTCTGTTTAATCTGGATGTGGCAAAGCATGCAGACGAGGTATGGTCAATCTTACAACTGGACATCATGAGTGACCAGTCCCTGTTAGCCCACTCAGCACTACAAGTACTGGGATTTTTCCTCCACGACAGTGATAATGTCGGGTAAGACCATACAGAAGAATTCATTCATTCTTTATTACCTTCAACCTTGCAGTTTATCAGTACAGTGCACATATACAGTGCAAATTATACAGTACATATATATACAAACAAAGAATACAACACTCCGACCAAGCATACATGATGGAATTGAGAGTTTATTTTTTTGAGAATTCTTGGAAAACATCAGCCGTAAAAGGTTTATCCATATTGTAAACATATATATATTTATCTCTTAACATTTCTATGCTTGTTAATTTATAAATTAAGTTGGTTATTTATCAGTAGAATTCAAAACTTTTTGGATATCTGTATAATACGATGATGGTATGTCATTGAATAAATTTTAATTGATGACTCTTAATAATCCCATATTAACATTTGGTTCACCAAGTGTGAGATGAAAAAAAGGAAGCCATACAGGCCAATTTGGTCACTTGTCATTATGTGAAATGATGTGAAGCTATTATCTGTATCAGCAATTTCTTATCTGTTGACTATTTTACTTTCAGGAGCCTGTCAGCGACGAATGTTGGAAATGTGATATCTGTTCTAACGAATTGTGTGTCACAGACAGATGACAAAACAACCTGTACCCGTGCCTTGTGGTGTCTCAGTCGACAGAACTTACCTAGTGATGTCGTAAACAAAAACGTAATGTCTCAACCTCGTAAACATAATTAAAAGTAGAATAATGAAAAAAATATTTCAATATTTACAGTTTGTGATCAACTGAGCTGCTTAGTAGTAACTAGTTTATATACCAAATTTTCTATGTCTTATATGCAAAATCTGGGATTATTCCTTGTGTCTTTATGTAATAGTTTTCACCACATATCTCAATTACAGCAATAAGTACCAGTTTTATTAAAAATAAATAACTCGATTTACCTATTTTAAGAATTCGCAGTCAAAATTTCATAAAATCTTATTTAAATCATATGCATGTGGACAGTTTTATGAAACTTAACACAAAACATCAAAAATGAAATATTTTTTAGGTGTCTATGATGCTGAATTCTGCCGAGTTCGCCATGGAGAAGTGGAAGTTACAGTCGATCACTGTGGAGAATGAAGCTTCAAACATCATTGCCAGGTAACATGTCATCATAAGATTGTAGTTTACCACATTTTACCCTGAGTAAGCAAGTGATTTTTATACCTTTATATATCAACAGCCTGTTACTACCTGCATTGGGAAAATATATCATTGTTTGTATTTAAATTCGGAAATATTCCTAAAATTTTCTTCATTTTTAGGAAAATAAAGCACTCTGTTGTTAGAGGGAGTAGCCTGTTTTTGGCTGTAAATCTGCACCAAAACATTAGCTGAAAGCTCTTGTCTTACTGTGACTGTGGAAATTTTTTGTGTGGAAATGGTCATGTTTTGATTTGAATAAATCGGCGTAAAAATATCTACACAAGAATATCTCTTACAGATTAAAAACACTGTAGGAGGATAAAAAAGAATAAGTATAACATGCGGATCCATAGTCATTGAGAAAATGTCCATACTGCCCAGTTTTAAAAGGATCATAACGCGACCATCTCTACTTGTGAGTCATAACGCGAACATCTCCACTTGTGAATTATCATATTTCCACTTCAACAGCATTGCAATCCTTGTAAAGAGGCTATTGAGGAGTTCAGTCAGGAAGTTATAATAAGTCTAGATGTTGTACCATAGATATAAACAAAGTCTTCATACTTGCTAAGAACAGTCACCAAGCTGTGACCGGGACTTCAGTAGAATTTCATTGTAGTGCAGCTATTTATCCCTCATATTTTACCATTATACGCTCGTTTACCAATATTCTGAGTGAGATATTGATGTGTCAATAAATTGTTTTGTAAAGATTCAAGAAGTAAATAGAAGAAAAAATACCTGCACATACATCTAGTTTATTTGCTTTTTTGGCAGATTTTTGTTGTTATTGTTGTTGTTGTTGTTGTTGGGATTGATTTATCAAAATGCAGGAAAAAGATCAGTAATAATTTTCCAATTAATTATTTCAATTAGGAGACACAGTAATTTTCCCCTTCAAAAACTTTGTAAAAGCATCAGAACAGCTTATTGTTACGTTTTTATACCTCTTGTGTTATACAGGCTCCTTGAAGTGTGTCCAAAGGAGATGATCAATCATATTGTCCAGTGGGGGAAGATTTTGCTTGTACAACTAGTCCACAGCGCCATTAAAATTCGCGAGAAAGCGTTGGAGGTGGTCAACACACAGTTATCTTCCCTAATGACTGAGCAGAAAGTGCTTTCCAAGTTTTTGATGACAGATTTTAACAAGGTAACCTTCCTTTCTGATTAATGTTGAACTTGTAGACGTTTATCATTATAAACGGTTATCATTATATGTTATAGACGTTTATCATTATAAACAGTTAACATTATATGTTATAGACGTTTATCATTATAAACAGTTATCATTATATGTTATAGACGTTTATCATTATAAACAGTTATCATTATATGTTATAGACGTTTATCATATACGTTTATAGAAATGTGAAAAAAATGTATTTCCAGTGTGTGACAATTGTAACCAGGATTTATAGAATAGAAATGGGGCATGATTTCAAGTAAACAAAATTTAGAAATATTGTATCACATACATTTACCTAGTACAAATGCTGGTTTGTAATCACAATCATTTTTGTTTTCAGAAATTTGGAGCTGAAATGGAAAGATTGTTTGGTAGCAGACATGAGATTCATGTTCTGAAAACCTGGGGAATTCTTGTCCAGATTTTAGGAGATGTGAGTTTTTGTTAAATCTGCCCTGATTAAAGGCAGTGGTATTGCTAATTTTTATATGCTACCTTACTTTGACATATAATCAAAAGTTGACATTTATTCACCTGCCATTTATGGGGTTGGGGAGCATGTGTTTTCCATGGCCATTCCGACTTGTCCTGTCCCGATTAGGTCATTGCTCTGTGTTAATTGTCTGATTGTGTCCAATTTCTGCGGCTTGTTTTCAAAATCATCACTTATTCTTTCTCATAAATATAACATTAAAAAGAGAATTCCCAAAAATCCAATGTCTTTGTAATGAATGCATGGAAGAAAATAGGACATGAAGATGTCTGTTTGAATTTAGAATAATTAAGTGTACTGGGATTGAAATGAAAATGAGCTTTGAGTGTAAACTTTTTCTCCAATAGGATCTTCATCGTGGCAGCTTCATCAACCATGTACTACCCATTGCAGAGTTAGGGTTCAAGAGTTCAAATCCAGAGGTCAAATGTTTGGCCTTTCAGGCATGGCAGCAACTAATAGACAACTTTGCAACCAACAATGGTAAGTTCAGGTCAGAACAAAAAAATGTTTCCTGTGACATGTTGGAAAAATTGAGGGGAAGGCAGGTAACAATATATTTTTTTTAAATAATTTTATGCGGTTTATATAGACGAGAGAACTTTATTTTAACAGTGCTTTTTTGAAAATTGCCTTCAAAAGTTAAGGGTAGGAACCACAAATTTGGGTAAGTAGGGTTACCAGAAACACCAAATATTTCTTGTTTGGCCTTATATATATCGCATAAACTACCATCTGATTCGTGCCGCAGTGGTTAAGTGTCTGACAATCTGCTACCACTAGCCCTCCACGGACACTTGATTGCGGGTTTACGACCTACATGGGGCAGTGACCAGGGACTGGCCAAGGTCCGTGTTTTTACCCCGGGAACTCCAGCTTACCTCCACCACCAAAGCCTGGCACATCCTTGATGACCACAGCTGTTAATAGGACGTAAAACACAGACAAATTAAACCAAACGTTTTGTGCAACCACTTTTCATTCCTGTTGAACATTTTACTATGTAATTTAACTGTATTGCGCGACAATCTGTAGATCTAAATGTACACCCCTACCAACAGGTTAATTACATACCCAGTCCGCACAATTTTGACCAACAGCAGTGATTTACATACCTGTACTACACAACTTTCACCAAAAAGGGAGAGTTCATACTAACAACACATAGTAGTTTAGCTTGGCATTCACTACCGTTGTTTAAGGAGAATTGAGAAATGACTTTGTTAGTACACTAGGCTTGGTTATAACCAGAATAAGTCAATCAACTGTGCTGTACAGAATATTATAATACTGTACATTATGATGCAGTGTGGTGTAAGTACACTAGGCATGGTTATAACCAGAATAAGTCAATTAACTGTGCTGTACAGAGTATTATACTCCTGTACATTATGATACAGTGGTGTAAGTACGCTAGGCTTGGTTATAACCAGAATTAGTCAATCAACTGTGCTGTACAGATTATTATAATACTGTGCATTATGATCCAGTGTGGTGTAAGTACACTAGGCTTGATTATAACCAGAATTAGTCAATCAACTGTGCTGTACAGATTATTATAATACTGTGCATTATGATACAGTGTGGTGTAAGTACAATAGGCTTGGTTATAACCAGAATTAGTCAATCAACTGTTCTGTACAGAGTATTATACTACTGTCCATTATGATACAGTGGTGTAAGTTCACTAGGCTTGGGTATAACCAGAATTAGTCAATCAACTGTGCTGTACAGATTATTATAATACTGTGCATTATGATACAGTGTGGTGTAAATACACGAGGCTTGGTTATAACCAAAATAAGTCAATCGACTGTGCTGTAAAGAGTATTATAATACTGGACATTATGATACAGTGTGGTGTAAGTACACTAGGCTTGGTTATAACGAGAATAAGTCAATCGACTGTGCTGTAAAGAGTATTATAATACTGGACATTATGATACAGTGTGGTGTAAGTACAATAGGCTTGGTTATAACCAGAATTAGTCAATCGACTGTGCTGTATAGAGTATTATAATACTGTACATTGTGATACAGTGTGGTGTAAGCACACTAGGCTTGGTTATAACCAGAATTAGTCAATCAACTGTTCTGTACAGAGTATTATAATACTGTACATTATGGTACAGAGTGGTGTAAGTACACTAGGCTTTGTTATAACCAGAATAAGTCAATCACCTGTGCTGTACAGAGTATTATAATACTCTACATTATGATACAGTGTGGTGTCAGTACACTAGGCTTGGGTATAACCAGAATAAGTCAATCAACTGTGCGGTACAGAGTATTATAATACTGTATATTATGATACAGTGTGGTGTAAGTACAATAGGCTTGGTTATAACCAGAATTAGTCAATCAACTGTTCTGTACAGAGTATTATAATACTGTATATTATGATACAGTGTGGTGTAAGTACAATAGGCTTGGTTATAACCAGAATTAGTCAATCGACTGTGCTGTACAGAGAATTATAATACTGTACATTATGATAGAGAGTGGTGTAAGTACGCTAGGCTTTGTTATAACCAGAATAAGTCAATCGACTGTGCTGTAAAGAGTATTATAATACTGGACATTATGATACAGTGTGGTGTAAGTACACTAGGCTTGGTTATAACCAAAATAAGTCAATCGACTGTGCTGTACAGAGTATTATAATACTGTACATTATGATACAGAGTGGTGTAAGTACGCTAGGCTTGGTTATAACCAGAATAAGTCAATCAGCTGTGCTGTACAGAGTATTATAATACTGTACATTATGATACAGTGTGGTGTAAGTACACTAGGCTTGGTTATAACCAGAATAAGTCAATCGACTGTGCTGTACAGAGTATTATACTACTGTACATTGTGATACAGTGCGAATGGTTCACTCTAGCCAATGTATTATATATGATCGTGAACAATATTACATGATTTGAATTCTCTACTCTAGCCATCCTGACAGACCCCAAGCGGATCAAGCTAGTGATGCAAGTATTCAAGTTAAACAACGCCAAGTCTGAGAATGTGGCACTTACCAAACTTCAGGTGTGGTGGCACTTCATCTGGCTCCTTGGCCCTAAGGTTTCCGCACACTTTGATCAGGTGAGACGTCTTTAAAGTTACGGTATCATTGCACTGCGTTGCCCGATTTTAATCATTGTTAAGTATAATAGTATTTCAAGTCATCTCTCGGACTAACAGAAAATAATAATGTTAAAAAAAGACTTAATTAAAGTTCCAGAATTGCATGTACAAGAATTTGAAGTCGAAAAACCACCATTATATGACTTGTGATCTGCACTCTTCTCCAACAAAGGGAGCAAGGTTAATAAAACTAATCAGCTCGGTGTATGGATTGTCATTGCAGGTGTGTGTACCACTTTTACACTTTTGTCTTGGAGGCGGAAAGCTTAATAATCACCTTACTGGAGCAGCTACGCCACGTAAGTGTCCCATACGATGGTGTCAAAGTTTAAATTCCACCTTTATTGCCCTCCGTGATGAGGACCTATTTTTCATGACGGAGAATAAAGGGCTAAACTAAAACAAGGTGAATGTGAAATTTACAAGTGAAGAAAAGGTATTTGACTAGGTGAAAGCTTCACAGTATATTATATCATGGTGACAGCATGGAACATGAAGTTTGTGCTGTGTTGAATGTGTCCAGATTGTTCTGTCAGGTGTGTAGTGTTACACAATATTGAAATATTATCTGTCATGTTGATTTCACAGCTTCAATTAAATGTATAAAAGAATCACAAAATTAACACTGCATCAAAAATAATTCTGTTTACACTCTGAAAACAATAGACAACAGTTTCTTGACAGATTTGTCCTATTGCAAAAATTATCCTTTAGTGACAAAGTAAATATTTAACAGTACATTTTGTTACTTAAATTTTGATTGGTAACAACTACAGGTACTCTAAAGACTGGGACAAGTCCTATCACCCCTCAGATGAACCTGAGTGTCCTTGGCTCATCCAGTGCACCACCTGTGATTCCGGCACTGCAGCTGAAGGGCTGCGAGATACTTGCTCACATTCTTGGTAGCCTGCCCAGTGACCTTGACTTTCCTCGCCCTAATTACACAATGGGTAAGGTGTTCCCATTAAGTAGCAAGTGGTTTTTTGTCAGTCTGTTTCATTCACCAAATATTCCTTACTCTTAAATAATGTTTGGTTGATACAGTTAACCCTTCCACCACTGTAGACCATAATGGACTCATCCAGATCAATGCATGGTAGAGTCTACTAAAGTTACATAGGGGTGAAAGGGTTAAACCTAGTACTCATGTGACCAGCTCTATCAACAGACCACCTGTGTAAAGAGACAACTTTCTATGTCCCCCATTGTTATGATTTTATTGTGAATTAAACCTGCATCAAGGAACTTTTTTAACTTCTCAAGGGCGGTTTCTTAAACAGGTTTTACTTTCTGTTCTTCACAAGAATTTTGTTTACTATATAAGCATATACATTTAAGCAGGCAGTAATCCTATTTTAATGATTTTCACACTTTAAATATTGCGCTAAATCAATTTTGTGCTAATATAAGTTTAATGCTTGTTGTAGTTTTCTACTGCATACATAGTGGTTTTGCCAATTCATCAATGCATTAATCAGTAAAGATTTGATAACATGCTATAATTTGACAGGGTTCGAATTTAATCAGATTTTCTGCTTGCATTTTTTCGCAAGTGGTATTTTTTCTTACTTGCTAAATGAGAAAACAACTTGCAATTTGCATTTTTCCAACTTTATTAGACATGTTAACTTAGAATTAAATTCTAAAACAACACAGTATTAACTGGCATTTTAAATTATGGTCATTGGGATGTATACATGACGCAAACCTTGCTGTGAAAGGATGCTGGCCTGCTCAGGCTATTCTAAGATTTAGCATAGAAACTGCATCTTAGTTTCCATTAACTTACATTAATGACAAAAGCTGAATCATTCGTTCGGCGAATGACAAGAATGCGCTAAAATGACCGCGAGTTGTCAAAGAAAGAATTTGTAAAGACCGACCATTAGGAATGAGGATTATTCAGCCCAAAATTTTCACTCGCAAAAAAATGCTGGTGTCTGAAATCTCTACTCGCAGTTTGCAATTTGCACTCGCTTTTCGCGAGTATGCGAGCTTAAATTCGAACCCTGATTTGAGTGTGCAAATTATATGATTGTAAACAGTATATCAGAATAATTACAGTCATGATTTGCTACAACATGAATATATATTTGCTGAACTACAGATCCACTGAGTCACGAAATCATCACCGGACCATCCTGTTTCTACAAACATGCCAATCTTCTAGTCAACAGTACCACTGAAATCATCTGTTCACTCAGCAAGAAAGTCCCAGGTAAGTTGTCATCACTGAGCAAGAAAGTCCCAGGTAAGTTGTCATTACTGAGCAAGAAAGTCCCAGGTAAGTTGTCATCACTGAACAAGAAAGTCCCAGGTAAGTTGTCATTTCTGAGCAAGAAAGTCCCAGGTAAGTTGTCATTTCTAAGCAAGAAAGTCCAAGGTAAGTTGTCATTTCTGATCAATTAAAATGTCACAGTGGCTAACCAGTGATCTTTTGGGCAAATTTGGAGCCTTTTAAAGGCCCCTTCCCCTAGAATTTTTTTGCTATATTTTCCCAAATTAAATGTGAAAATCATGTCTTTTTCCCAAAATCATGCTTTTTGTGTGATAAAGGTCACAAGGTAGAAGCCCCTGTGGAAAGGAGGTAGAAAAATGATTGTTAACACTAATGTTAGTGACTCGTTGCTGATTTGGCTAGAGGAAACTTACTTTAGCCTAAGTGGTAGAGTTCTGTAAAAAGTACCTGTATCCTACAGTTTTAACTCTTTTAATTGAATAATACGCATTTTGAAAAGTGTAAATCTAAGTACTCTAAAACTACTGATTCAGGAGGATTGGTTACAATAATAAAAGTTCTTAGAATTTTATTACCACTGTAAAACCCTACTTATTTCTGCTGGCATTCATATCAGCTTTGAATAAAGGGCCACATTAAGATCTTGAAATTGTTCACGTTCATTACCACCGACCCTCTGGAAGATGGCTATTCTATTTATTTAATAAGCTTGCATAGTCCATAAATGTTTGTTTACAATGAACTAAATACTGAAATTAAATTAATGTAAAAACTTTCAAATTTAATGTTAAGTACTAGTGTACTTTAAGGAATTTGTAGTTTTCAGTTGGCATTTATATTGGCCATGAATTCCAACTGAAAGCATTTCATAAATGCTCAATAACTTTACATGTATAAAATGATGCAAGATGGAATGGCCTGGCATGACAGGACATTGTCATATTTAAACCGTAATAAATATAAAAGATGGATAACAAAAATGTGATAACAATTGTATCATGTGGAGCATAGGCGAGGCATATCTATCCGAATGGCTTGTTATATCAACAGAAATTAATTTTGAGTCATTCATCTCCTTTTGTGTTACAGAGGCACTGTTATACCAAGTCTGGTACTCTCTGCTTGCTCATATGAAGAACGCCCTGGAGCACCTGAAGCTGGACATGAGGGAGATCCTCACATCATTTTTGACACAATTCCAGATCATCATCCTCAGCCAGGCCCTACCTCAGAAAGTCTTACTGGTGTGTTCTAACTAAACCATTTTGTCTACTGGTTAAGATGTAATATTTACTCACGGAATTATTTTGTGTATTGAATAGAAATTTTATTATACCCCTCACTTCAGTTGAGGGGGGTATGTAATAATTGCTTTTTCTGCATCCATACGTCCGCCCAAGATTGTGTTGAAGATATCTCAAGTTCTTCACAATTTAACATGATTCCTTTAGAAAGTGAAGTACAAATCTTTACGCACTTCATAGTAGGGGGAAAAAGTCTGCCAAAAATTTGAAATCTTTCTTGTTCTGCTAGTATTCTTTATCAGTAGGTTAAACAACTACCTGACTTTGAAATGACAATTTTGAACACAGCGATATAAAGTTCTAATAAAAAAAATATTGCGTGATGCACTTACCGTTGACATGACTATCAATCCAACAGGTAAAAGATCAAGCTTGAATAGAACTAATTTCAGGGATCTTTTGCATTTATATACTCGCAGAGAATCATAATGTAGGTTTTATTTATATACAGAAAATCAGTTTTTCTACCGATTCAAATTTTACTCAAAAGTTGTCATTTTAATATAATTCTCCAGATTGTATGTACATTTTCAGTTTTCGTATGTAGTGCTTGTTTTATTCTTGAGCACTACTGTAGAAATTGAACTGGTGTGATGATTATGTTATATAGACAAATCCCAGACTGGTATTCTGAGAGTTCACCGACTGATTTGGATGCCATAAAGTATAAAAAGAATGTTTCCATTACCCTTTTCTTTTTTTTCTGTCAAATAAATAACAATATGTTTTGGTCAAATTTTTCAGAAAATGTTTGAGGTGGTATGCTGTCTTCCGAGAAAGTCGCTGACATCTACGGCTTACAACGTGGGTAACGGGGAGAGGATTCATGTAAGTATAGCACTACTTCTACTGTATAGTGTGTAGACTTTGAATTAGGAAAATTTCAAATTGGCATAACTAATCATGTAAATACCATTTCTGATGTTGTGTGGAAGTAGATCCTGTGTGTGTTTATATGTGTGTACAATGAAAGCTCCACCAGCTGGTCTTAGCTTTCTGTGGTAATCTATATCGTGGTGGTCTTAACTTTCCGTGGTAATCTATATCATGGTGGTCTTAGCTTTCTGTGGTAATCTATATCGTGGTGGTCTTAGCTTTCTGTGGTAATCTATATCATGGTGGTCTAGTGTGTATAGACATGTTAGAAAATGGTTTACTCCTTGTAGTTAAAGAAGGTTCTATTAGAAGGGAGTAATTATTGAACTATGTTAATGCTAACATTAAAGATTGAAATGTATCCCTTTTACTTCTATTATGGTATACAACACGGTTCCATTCACATGCAAACAATTGATATTCTTTATTTACTGAATAGCATTGATGTAGGAATATTTGCAAGTTATGATGTAAACGATACTGGAAATTTCTGTAATGGGGAGTGTTGTGTCATGCGTCATTGCTCAATACTGTTTTGTTCATACTGGGTATATTGAATTTGGTTCCACTTTTGAAATTAGAAATAATTTTAACTGAAGTTTGATATGATAAGGTATTGGTTGTCAAATGTTTGAACAAGCATCACTTAATAGTTTCACTATTGAGCTTTTTAGAATGGATGTGTTACAGGATTGAGATGTAGAAATACTTATAAATTGTATGTATGTATTTGTTCCAGGGAACACCTGCCTTGTTTCTGACTGAGCTTCTCCTTACCCCGGTACTGCTAACTGCAGGAACTATCTCCGAGAGGTACAAAATATACTGTTAATGCACATACGAGTCAACAGACCTAGATTTCTCAAAATATAACTTTGAGCTCAAACAATTTCAAACAACATTGTGACTTTTGAGCTCAAAGGTAATCAACTTAAGTTACTCTTTTCCATAATTAGATGGTATTGTCTTCACTTCCAGTTCCAAATGTGTTAAAAAGCTTTGATTAAACACTGTACAATGTTAAAAAAAATCTAAGTCTGAGCTAATTTTTTCTCTCCCTCAAAGTTCAGGCTTGATCATTTTTGTCAGTTTCAGTGAATCTATCTTCAGGAAATACTAAATCAATAATGATTAAGTCCATGAAATAGTAGCTCAAATAAAATACTCTCATCATTTTTACACTACTATTAGTTCTTAACTCTTTGGTTTTACAATATATTTCATATTATTTTCATTAGCTGTTCTGTTTGACTCCCCTTGCACAGGGTTCAGAGCTGTTCTTTTTGACAACCCTTGGTACAGAGATGTTTTCCTTAACTTGTAAGGTATCCAAATTGTACTGAGCTCTTCTAATTTACTCCCCAGCTACATGGTAATGAGCTATTCTGTTTTACTCCCCAGCTACATGGTAATGAGTTATTCTGTTTCACTCCACAGCTACATGCTAATGAGTTATTCTGTTTTACTCCCCAGCTACATGGTAATGAGCTATTCTGTTTTACTCCCCAGCTACATGCTAATGAGTTATTCTGTTTTACTCCCCAGCTACATGCTAATGAGTTATTCTGTTTCACTCCACAGCTACATGCTAATGATTTATTCTGTTTTACTCCCCAGCTACATGCTAATGAGTTATTCTGTTTTACTCCCCAGCTACATGCTAATGAGTTATTCTGTTTTACTCCCCAGCTACATGGTAATGAGTTATTCTGTTTCACTCCACAGCTACATGGTATTGAGTTATTCTGTTTCACTCCACAGCTACATGGTATTGAGTTATTCTGTTTTACTCCACAGCTACATGGCACTATTTGGAATTTTGGTTGACTGTGGTATCAGTACATCATCAGGGTCGTTGGAGTTCTGCAATTCTACCTTGCGAATGTTAGAACAGAATCGAGAGTTTGTTGAAATTCAGGAATTGATGTGGAGACTCTGGAGTAGCATGGTGAACCCACTCCACGAACACATCAAAAAGGTAAGACATCCTCATACATAGTCTTAAATCCTAAAACTCCGTCATCAGACCTGGTATTTAAATAGTCAGAAACTATAATGAAACTGGGGGCAACATTTGACAAAGAGTCAATTTTTAAGCTTGCACCTTGAAAAGTTCAGATAGATAGCTATAAAACTAAAATTAGAAAGATTTTTTTTTATATATATTCTACAAGCGTATGTTTTCATTGTAAGTATTCAAAATGTTTACTGGTCCTGACATGAAATTTAATTGCCCCAGCGGTGGGGCTAGTGGAAATGTACACCCCTGGCATGTATGCTCATATAATATGTTTAAACATTAAAAGTATTCATGTTTGAGTATTATATTTACGCTGTAAAAGCATGTTGGTTTGAGTATTCAAGGGTTACTATTTTAATGTCTGCTTTATCTTCCCTAAGACTAACGAGGTAAACCAAGGAGATGCCCTGGAACACAACTTTAATTGTCTGTATGCTGTCCTCGTGTTCCCGGTACAGCAAGGCCTCGTCACCTCCATGCCTCAGGTAAGACACAGGGCTACAACACCATCTCGCCTTACATTTTAGATCATTGGAGTCTGATAATATTTAACAAATATCTAATGACTGACAAAAATCTATAAGGTCTAGCGTAGTGATGTTTTCCTTTATACTGCTTTCTGGGATGAAGGGCTATGAGGCTTTTAGAGTGAATGACCTTGCCCCTTATGTTCAAGGTCATAGATATCTGCTTATATTCAATGTACTTAGCCCTTTTCTAGCTGGGTCAAATGGTTATCAAATTATTGTGCTATTTATTCTAGACCCACTTTTCATTGTCACAGGCAGAATCTGTAAAAAAAAAAAAAATCAACTAATTCAAAACATCTATGAGGCCTAGGGTCATGCTATTTGTACTGTATCTTGGTTTTGTAAAGGGCTGTCAAGTTTAATCCTTGACTTTGACTTACATTTAAGGTCACAGGTCAGCTGTGTTACAAAATCTAAAAGTTATATGAATAACCATTAAACCTAGACCTGACATTTCGCCTGCAGGTTTCCAGTATCAAGATGTTCCAAATAAATTATCTCAACCTTCTTTCAAAATCACTAATTGCCGACAACATTTCACAACAGGTGAGCAATACGGGCCTCTTGTCCTCTTGTAAATGTTGGATTCCATGTAGATGATTTTATTGGTGTCGTATGGGATTAAAAGACATGCATGTCTCAAATTATTGGGTCCCCTGAAAGTTTTTGACTTAAATTTGAACAATATCAAGGTGAACACTGAAGGTATTGTTGTCCTGTACAGGCGTCCGTGAAGACTTTGCTCAAGACATGGTGTGATGTGTACAAGACTTTTGCTCGACTCTCGGCTCTCGTTACCAATGCGGATGCCAACGTATGCTGTGAGGAATTGTGTCACCGACTCCTCAAACACACCAGTCAGGATCACTTAGAGGTAGGGATGTAGGAGGGTAAAGAAACAGTTGGTGAAATGTAGCATTTGACAGTATTTATTTTTCATTGTTTCTATCCCCGTATATGAAGAATAGAAAATTTGATGAAGATCTTCTCTAGACTACTGTAAATCACGAGTTAACATCAAAACAAATATCTCAAAATATAAGATCCGTACCACCATACTTCCACCATACATACATTCAGTGGTGGAGTCTGAAACATTGGCCTGCATTTTAAATAGAATGTGTTGCTAGGCTAGTGTTTGACTTGTGTTGTCAGGGGGCAATGTGTCCATAATCTAAGCAGAGTTTTAAAAACTTCATTGTGAAATATTCAATGGGCTGTATTAAATACAATGTATACAATGTTTTGTGTTATTACTACTTGCATATTAAATAAAACCTGGTAATTAAATAGAGTTAAGAGGATACAATAACATTTAAGCAGTCAACTGTCAAAATCATGTTATAATAATGTTTGTTTCTGTTATCCCCACAGGAGGTCGGATACCTAGACTTTGTTTCTCAGTGCTGTCTGGCCATGGTCACTGCTGTGGACTTTTCCTCCCTGGGATCTGTTCCGTCCTTTAACCTCAGTAAGTGTTGACTCCTCCTGGGATCTGTTCCGTCCTTTAATCTCGGTAAATGTTGACTCCTCCTGGTATCTGTTTCGACCTTTAACTTCAGTAAGTTTTGACTCCTGTCTGGGATCTGTTCCGTCCTTTAATCTCGGTAAATGTTGACTCCTCCTGGTATCTGTTTCGACCTTTAACCTCAGTAAGTTTTGACTCCTGTCTGGGATCTGTTCCGTCCTTTAACCTCAGTAAGTGTTGACTCCTCCCTAGGATCTGTTCCGACCTTTAATCTCAGTAAGTGTTGACTCCTCCTGGTATCTGTTCCGACCTTTAACCTCAGTAAGTGTTGATTCCTCCCTGGGATCTTTTCGACCTTTAACCTCAGTAAGTTTTGACTCCTGTCTGGGATCTGTTCCCTCCTTTAACCTCAGTAAGTGTTAACTCCTCCTGGGATCTGTTCCGACCTTTAAGCTCAGCAAGTGTTGACTCCTTCCTGGGATCTTTTCGACCTTTAACCTCAGTAAGTTTTGACTCCTGTCTGGGATCTGTTCCCTCCTTTAACCTCAGTAAGTGTTGACTCCACTTGGGATCTGTTCCGACCTTTAACCTCAGCAAGTGTTGACTCCTCCCTGGGATCTGTTCCGTCCTTTTACTTCAGTAAGTGTTGACTCCACTTGGGATCTGTTCCGACCTTTAACCTCAGCAAGTGTTGACTCCTCCCTGGGATCTGTTCCGTCCCTTTAACCTCAGTAAGTGGTGACTCCTCCTGGGATCTGTTCCGACCTTTAACCTCAGTAAGTGTTGACTCCTCCTAGAATCTCTCTCTTCTTTTATGTTATTAACTTTTAACTGTGGTCTGTCGTCTTTATCCTCAGTCCATGGATTCACCATTATCATTTCTTTATCAGAATAAAATGTAATGCCTTGTCTAAGATGAATTTAAACCAATCATTTTTATGTTGTTTTTAGGTCACCTGAGACAAAGTCTCAAGTAACCTATTAGATCGCCTTTTGTCCGGCGTCGTGCGTCCGTAAACAATTTACATTTTTGACTTCTTCTCAAAAAACCCCTGAACCAATTTCAATGAAATTTTGCAGAAACCTTCCATGACCAAAGGTCAACTAAAATTATGAATTATATGGTCCCCAGCTGGGGCCAAAAAGGGTAAAATTGACTAAAATATCAAAAATCTTCTTCTCAAGATCCAGATATGGTAGAATCAAATACTCTTAATAGATGGAAGGGTCTTAGGATACATCAAACTGTATTGGATAGCAGTTTGATGATATGCACATATCAGCCCTGACTGACCCCCTGGGACTGATGGGTGGGGCAAAAAAAAGGGTTGAATCGACTGAAATTTCAAAATCTTCTTCTCAAGACCAGATATGGTAGAATCAAATTCTCTTCATAGATGGAAGGGTTTTTAGGTGCTCTACCAAAATTGGGAAATTTATGACCCTAGGGTCTCACGTTTACCCCTGGGGAAGGAGGGGGGGGGCAAAATTTGGTATGGTTTATAATGGCAAATGATACTTTGAATATTACATGTTGATAACTTGATTGGAATTATAACCCTAAGTTGACAGTTTGATACTACGAAAATTTGAGCCATCCCTACCCCCAAGGGCTGTAGGGTGGGGCCCAATGGAGTCCGTGTGTTAAAATACAATTTCTTCATTTTCCTTGTTTAGAATCAGAGGTGCTAGTTTCAAATACTTTTCAGTATTAAATCTGCATGCTAGATATTGAATGAGGTGGTTTTATTGTTTTTTGTCACTTTGAATAATATTTCTGTTCATGTTAAAAACAAAAATCAACTCTCTGTATAAATATATCACCGTTAAGGCCCATGGGCCTCTTGTTTTATCTTATTGTTTCATAGGTACTCTTCAACCATAAATTTGTATGTCCACAAAGTAATTACAGGTTTGACCTGAAGGTATTTTCCTTACAAGTAGCATAGTAAGCCACAGATTCAGGGGTACACAGGACATTGTTTGGGGGGAAACCAGGAAATTTGGGCACAACTAATATATCTGATTTCACAGTATATATATTTTTTTCAAAATAACTATGTAGTTATTCTTGAATTACTTGTTCAGATGGTTTAAGTCCAGCTAAATGGGCCAAGAAGAAACAGAAGCCTATGGACAACATCCAAAGCTTGGTGATGCTCAGCCAACAGCTGCTGGAGGCCACCCTGATCCTAGCTGTAAAAGGGGAATCTGGAAAGGTATGCTTGGGTTTAAGGGCTTAAGATGAGTTTATAATTGGCAAAGGGTTCAATACCTGTTCAATTTCATTTTAAGTCACCAGAGACAAAGTCTCATTTAACCTATTGCCACTGCCTTTTGTATGTCAGGCATTTTGACTTGATAGAAAATACCCCTTTTAAACTTTCTCAGAAACCATTGAAATAATTTTCAATAAAACTTTGCAAGGCACTTTCATGGAAGAAACAAAACAAAATTTTCTGATAAAATGTATGCTGTATATAAACATTTGTGGTTTTCTTAGGTGTCGTCAAACAATAAAAAAAAATCGTTATACATACTAGACTGCTTTTTGTTTTATATTGATTATCCATGAGATTTTGTAACTTAAAATGATCAAAATCGCTTCAAAAAAACATGTTAGAAAATACCCACTGACATTGCTTGTTATCCACTATTAAAAGCGGAAAAAAATAAGTTTAACTTCATATTTATGTAGTATTGCACACTTATTGGTATGTTTCTGTTTACATATCCTATCTGGCTGTTTTCAGAAACCAGGGGTCGGTTCCCTGTCTAACACTGCCAGTGTGATGGTAGATGTCCTCACACAGCTGTTCACACACGTCAGCACTTCAAACATCATCTACACTATGATTGGTCACCTTGCTCAACCAATCGCAGACCTCTTCCAGGGATCAGCTGGAAAGACAACAACTAAAATATATACCAATGTCTTTCAACAGAAGGTGGGTGAATAGTTCAGGGGCTAGAAGGATGTGTGCCATGTATAATTAGCATATATTTTTGAAAAATCAGCACATGAAAATTATCCTGGATGTAACGACACATCATGTTTCATTAGACTAAAATTGGGATTGTTTAAAAAAAAATTACAGCGACAGAATGTCGTTAACATTTGTACCTCGTCATTTAAATTACTGATCATAACATATTTCCAAAACAAAAGATTGAATTTTAGCAATGCGGACATTCATAAATGTCCTACATTAGCAACAAAATGCTACTTTAAAGATTGATTAGAATAGAGTTATTTTATATTGATACATTATTAAAAATATTACTTTTATTTTTCATATTAATTGTACATTGTGTTATGTCCTGTTCCATATTGCTGAACATTTCATAAAATGACATAACCACTTCCATACTTTACTGATAAAGTTTGCAATTTGATGGAGCATATTTATCATTTCATGTTCTGATTAAAAAAAAAACCAACTTATTTTGTTGTAATTTCCTCTCTAATTGCAATTGAAAATGTCTTTCAGCTTGAAAAACTATGGCAGACAATAACAAACTCTGTGCAAAGTAAATTCACCTCTAAAGCAGACTCGGAACTACTGGCAAAGTTATCTCCCTTGCTGGAAGCAACATTTCTGCATCCAAGAAGAGCAATGAAAAACATGACCACCAGTTTCTGGAAGGCAGAATTTAGTCAATCAGCACCGCTGGTTTATCCAGAGAGCCTCAAGTAAGACTCTTTGTTGATCAGCTTTCAATACACAGCTCTGACATCACACACTGTTAATTAGTGTTTACATGGTGAAATACAAGTCATGTATGTAGTGTTACTTAATTTATATATATGTATACTTGTATACTTAAACTATCTGGATGTGGCAATCCTTTTCTTCACATTGCCTCTGACATCACACACTGTTAATTAGTGTTAATTTATATATATGTATACTTGTATACTGTATACTATCTGAATGTGGCAATCCTTTCTTCACGTTGCCTCTGACATTTAACCCTGTCCTTACAGGCCTGTGCTGTGTAAAGTGAAGGAGAAGACCTCCATTATCCTGCCTGGTTGGTCAGCGGTCGACATATCTGTTGTTGAGGAAACTCCTGTCAGTCAGATGAGCCAGGTATATTTACATTCATAATGCTTGGGATTTCAAAGTTGTGAATCTTCATGATTTGAAAACAAAAACTTCAAACACAATTATGCAAAGTAGTTCCAGATTTTTTATTTTTTGATTTTTTTTTAATTATGAACAGTTTTAATTGCAATGAAAGTAATTATGACAAAAAATAATTTTAAATTCATTTAAAAGCAAAAACTTCAACATTTATCAGAAAAATGCAGTTAATAAAGTTCACAATTTTGACAAATCACAGCACCTTTAGAATTTATCACACATGTGTATTTCCATGTGTATGACATGGCCATATATATTATGAAATAGTAAAATCGGTTAGGTATGTGATAAATATTTTTAGGTCACCTGAGCTTTAGCTCAAGTGACCTATTGCTATCCGTTTTCGTCCGTCGTCGTCCGTCGTCCGTTAACATTTTACATTTCAAACTTAAAGTCAAGTTCTGCTGGGCCGATTGAACTGAAAGTTGGTAGGAATGATCGCCTCATGGTCCTGACAAAGTGTTGTTATTTTTCGGGTCAATCAGAAATACAATTTGGCTGCCATGGCCGCTATTTTGCTACTAAGTTCTAATAGGCCGATCTCACTTAAAATTGGTCTAGGAATGATCAGCTCATGGTCCTGACAAAGTTAAGTTAACATTATACTATTTTTTACTCAAATTGGTACATATTTCAACAACAAAAATAAATACTATAGACTCAGGTGACCGTTAAGGCCCATGGGCCTCTTGTTCCTTTGAGCAGGAAAGCACAGATAATGTTCCTTTTATGTACTTCAAAATTTCACCTTAAGAGTATTAGCTGTCAGCAGACAACAGCTATTGATTTTAGGATCAGTTCGTTAAAGAGCAACATCTGCCTTATATGTATAATGCAAAATGTTCAACTGTTATATCGGGGCTAAAGAAACGTTTCTAGCTTATTAGAAATTGTTTAAACCAAAGACTTCCTTTAAATCCATATAAACAGCCATAAAGTTCAACATATTTGGTATTATTTGCAAGTCACATGAGCTGCATGACCTTGGTCCAAGTTGAATTAACTATGTGGCCATTTGCCTCTTGTTAACGACGTCTTACTACTTTGTTGCAGGCCGAGTCACAGGCACCTGAGCCACGCCTGCCTGGAATGCCATCCCCCGTCAAAATGCACGGCAGCTTCCTTAACAAGGCTGTGTCGCCTCACATCAAAAAGTCTCCTGCCAAACCTGTTGTCATGGAGAAAGGATGTCAAGAGGTGGCCAAGCGAGATCTTCTGTCTGTTAACGGGATGAAGAATGATGTAAGTGTGTTTGACTGCACACTTTAAATCACCAATTGGTAACAATGTACTACTTTGGAGAGTTGGGTGATTTATATCAATCTTCAGTTACTCATTGTAAGAATCTGGAGTAAACGTGGCTAACCTGTAGCTTATGTACCTGATGTTTTAGAATCCCCGTACGGCTATCAAATACTCAAAATACGCATAAAAAAAGGTGGTTTTTTTCAGCATGACTATAGCTTTATTCAATCATTTCTGAAAGGAAAATGATACCTCGATGGGCATTTATGAAAAATAATAAAGATGAATAAAGGTAATATAATCAATAAAAAGTGTTCTGATTGTAAAAAGTTAACAGGGGTAAACCTTGATTCGTACTCTGAACTTCAGGTCGTTATACCATCGCCCTAACCAACACTGTATAGAAATATAATTGAAAACAAATTTGTTCATATTCGCTGTTTCAGGATTTTGTTGTGATAAAGTCTCCGCTGAAGAAGAAAAGGATTCTCACTGAACATCAGAAAGAAGTCTTCCGCGAGAAAAAGTAAGTAATGCATGACGAGTGATGTCTTTATAGTGCCCCTTTGAGGAGGGACCTTTAAAAAGTGTCCTAAAGCAAACGATCTTGTTATACACTCCTTATGTAGCAGAAAATGTAATCGTTAAGCTGTACAAAGTAGAAGTAAGCATTACCAAAAATTTTTTTTTACACATCATGGCCTGTAATCATTCCGTAGGTCAATCAGGAGGTGGGGTGGCGCTCACACAACATGGCCTGCAATCACTCCGTAGGTCAATCAGGAGGCGGGGTGGGGCTCACACAACATAGCCTGTAATCACTCTGTAGGTCAATCAGGAGGTTGGGTGGCGCTCACACAACATGGGCTGTAATCATTCCGTAGGTCAATAAGGAGCTGAGGTGGCGCTCACACAACAGGGCCTGTAATCATTCCGTAGGGCAATTAGGAGCTGGGGGGGCGCTCACACAACATGGCCTTTAATCATTCCGTAGGTCAATCAGGTAGGTCAATCAGGAGGTGGGGTGTCGCTCACACAACATGGCCTGTAAACACTCCGAAGGTTAATCAGGAGGTGGGGTGGCGCTCGCACAACATGGCCTGTAATCCCTCCGTAGGTCAATCAGGAGGCGGGGTGGGGCTCACACAACATGGCCTGTAAACACTCTGTAGGTCAATCAGGAGGTGGGGGGGCGCTCACACAACATGGCCTTTAATCATTCCGTAGGTCAATCAGGAGCTGGGGTGGCGCTCACTCAACATGTCCTGTAATCACTCTGTAGGTCAATCAGGAGCTGGGGTGTCGCTCACACAACATGGCCTGTAAACACTCCGAAGGTTAATCAGGAGGTGTGGTGGGGCTCACACAACATGGCCTGTAAACACTCTGTAGGTCAATCAGGAGCTGGGGTGTCGCTCACACAACATGGCCTGTAATGACTCCGTAGGTCAATCAGGAGCTGAGGTGGCGCTCACACAACATGGCCGGTAATCATTCCGTAGGTCAATGAGGAGCTGGGGTGGCGCTCACACAACATTGCCTGTAATCTCTCTGTAGGTCAATCAGGAGGTTGGGTGGCGCTCACACAACATGGGCTGTAATCATTCCGTAGGTCAATCAGGTAGGTCAATCAGGAGGTGGGGAGGCGCTCACACAACATGGCCGGTAATCATTCCGTAGGTCAATGAGGAGCTGGGGTGGCGCTCACACAACATGGGCTGTAATCATTCCGTAGGTCAATAAGGAGCTGAGGTGGCGCTCACACAACAGGGCCTGTAATCATTCCGTAGGACAATAAGGAGCTGAGGGGGCGCTCACACAACATGGCCTGTAATGACTCCGTAGGTCAATCAGGAGCTGGGGTGGCGCTCACACAACATGGCCTGTAATCACTCCGAAGGTTAATCAGGAGGTGGGGTGGGGCTCACACAACATGGCCTGTAATCATTCCGTAGGTCAATCAGGAGCTGAGGTGGCGCTCACACAACATGGCCTGTAATCATTCCGTAGGTCAATCAGGAGGTGGGGTGGTGCTCACACAACATGGCCTGGAATCACCCTGCAGGGCAATCAGGAGCTGGGGTGGAGAGCACACAACATGGCCTGGAAATACTCCGTAGGTTAATCAGGAGGTGGGGTGGCGCTCACACAACATGGCCTGTAATCACTCCGTAGGTCAATCAGGAGGTGGGGTGGTGCTCATTTTCTTTAGTTATGAAAGGCTTGTTATATTAGATGAAAGTTTCAAGGGAGATTACTCTCCTCACAAATAACATGATTCAATCGTATATCAAGGTAGAATATCCTTAACTGTTGTTTTAATTGCCAGTCAATTTATTAATTGTCGAGGGAGCTGTGTTCAAACAGATATTTGGTATTAAACTAAAAAATCACACCGTTTAGGCCAAAATAAATTAATTACTTGGTTCTCAGGCTCGCATGCATTTCATTTTAGGGACCGCATTGCCAATTTTATTGTGAAAGTATTAAAAAAAAAATCGTGAATGCGCCAGCCGCCGTCTCAAATAAATCTGGAAAATTGGTCCGCGTGTCATTTTTAGGTCACCTGAGCTTTGCTCAAGTGACCTATTCCAATCGCTTTTCGTCCGTCGTCGTCCGTCGTCCGTCGTGCGTAAACTTTTACATTTTCAACTTCTTCTCAAGAACCAGTGGATGGATTTTTTTCAAACTTGGTCAGAATCATCCTTGGTAGATGAGGCTTCAAAATTGTAAAATTGGGATTCCTACCCCCACCCCTGGGGCCAGGGCGGGGCCCCAAAGGGAAAATTATCCAATATTTCAAAAATCTTCTTCTCCAGACTCACAGGTACTACAGTGATTTTCTCTACGTGGAAAGAAAGATCATCAGGGGCTTTACTTAAATTGTAAATTTCAGGACCCCCGAGCTATCCGTTCTCCCTTGGGGAGGGGGTAAAGTTTACTATAGTTTATATAGGGAAATAACACTTTTGGGTATATTTTGACAACTTTCTGTAGGAAATTATTTTTACTTGGTGAGAATTATCCTTGGAGGTAGATGGTTTCAAATTGTAAAATTGAGATTCCTACCCCGACCCCTGGGGCCAGGGCGGGGCCCCAAAGGGAAAATTAATCAATATTTCAAAAATCTTCTTCTCCAGACTCAGAGGTACTACAGTGATTTTCTCTACGTGGAAAGAAAGATCATCAGGGGCTTTACTTAAATTGTAAATTTCAGGACCCCCGAGCTATCCGTTCTCCCTTGGGGAGGGGGTAAAGTTTACTATAGTTTATATAGGGAAATAACACTTTTGGGTATATTTTGACAACTTTCTGTAGGAAATTATTTTTACTTGGTGAGAATTATCCTTGGAGGTAGATGGTTTCAAATTGTAAAATTGAGATTCCTACCCCGACCCCTGGGGCCAGGGCGGGGCCCCAAAGGGAAAATTAATCAATATTTCAAAAATCTTCTTCTCCAGACTCAGAGGTACTACAGTGATTTTCTTTACGTGGAAAGAAAGATCATCAGGGGCTTTATTTAAATTGAAAATATCAGGACCCCGAGCTATCCGTTCTCCCTTGGGGAGGGGTTAACGTTTAATATAGTTTATATAGGGAAATAACACTTTTCGGTATATATTTTATATATTTTCAGCAGAAAATTGCTCAAACTTAGTCAGAATCATCTTGGGTAAATGAGAGTTTTACTTTGTAAAATTAGGATTCCTGCCCCATCCCCAGGGGCTAGAGCGGGGCCCCAAAGGAAACATTTACCAATATTTTCAAATTCTTATCCATTGATGACATGACAAGTATTGAATTTCACTTAGTTTACATGCTGATTTCCACATCACATCTAAACAATAAAATAAAGCTACCAGTATCTATGATATAACCGCTAAGGCCCTTGGGCCTCTTGTTAATTGTTAGTCACCCAAGTCCCGAAAACGTTTGAATGAAGATGAGGAAATTGATATACTGGCTAGCGGTGAAACGATTATGACTTATTAACATCGTGTTCAAAGTGTACAAATGGCGCTCATTTCGGTACAAATAAGGAATTGGGAGTCTGTGATTCTTCACTGGAACATCGTGGGGGGATTTTTGGAGGCTTGCTCAATGACGAATCTCCACACAACTCTAAAAAATGGTAACATCGATCTGGGAACGTGGTCGTTCCCAGATAAACTCTGTTCTGCTTAAGTATCTGTGTGTGTTGGGCGACAAAAACGGGACACATTTGACAAGGTAATGCCCACATTGAACGTTTTACAAACTACACAATAAAAAAAAAATCGCTCATCTCATTTTTGCCACGAAAAATGGGGGGGAAAAATACGTCCCTGCCTGAGAACCAAGTAATTAATTTGTTTTGGCCTTATATCCATCCTTTATGTATCACAACTACATGTATGAATGTCTTATCCACTCTGGTTAGTGGAAATGGGTGGTAATAATATGATTCTTTTTGTAGGACTTTCCCAGCCATGTTTAACACCCTAGACTTGTCACAAGATGTCTCCCTGATGGCGTCGCAGTTCGGTAATGAGAACACACAGAATGGGTAAGTATCGAAGTCAAGATGATGAATCATATTTTTTGCTTTTCAGTGTCTGAGCAAATGAGATGCACATACGCTTATATAATACATATTATATACACTGGTATTCAAACATCTGTAACCCTTTCACCACTATAGACCATTATGGACTTACCCAGATCAATGCATGGTAGAGTTTATTAAAGTTACATAGGGGTGAAAGGGTTGAGCCTTCTAAAGACCTCGCTGTAGTTCTGGATGTGATGACTAAGTGAGTTCCTCAGATTGGTTTTCTGATCTGTTTAAAGACTATGACCTCAGATAGAGATTTGAGGTATTGCTTGTAGTGTAGAAATCTGTTGAAATTTTATTATTGATAACTGGTTACCCTTAACTTACCAATGATTGATTAATAACATAACATTGTGACACCCCCCATGCTGTTGTTGCGAGACTCTGTTACGCAAATGATACATGTAAGAACTACCTCCCTTTACACTCTGAATCTGTAATGTAAACCGTCCTCATATGAACCTGGCTGTTGCAAGTACATTAAGCCTTTCACCACTGTAGACCAAAATGGACTCCTCCAGATCAATGCATGGTAGAGTCTACTAAAGTTACATAGGGGTGAAGGGGTTAAAAATAAAGATTTGCAAACACCTTTATTAGCAGGATAAACTTTTCACTTGATACATTAAGGTAATTATACGCTCCAAAAAATACACTTGATTATGTTGCAATGTATTGTTTCTGTAATCTTTATATGGTCTTCCATTACAGGTCCCAGTTGCCTAGTTCAGATTCCGTAATTGTCCTGGGGTCTTCTGGTTCCCTAGGGTCTCAGTCCAACATGGTAAGATATTGATACTGAAACTGGTTAATTGTTCAAAAGAAAATGTCAACCAAATATGTCTTAATATTTTTAGAAAGCTTAATTATATTTGAAAAATGCTTAAAATATGATCAAATTTTATCTAAAAGAAAATTTTAAATCATTTGAAAAGTTTGATGCAAATGTAAACAAGAAAAAAAAATACAAAATGTAATGATTTGATGAAAATTAACAATATAGTACTTTCCTATTTCAGAATCAAGCTGATAGCATGAAGGCGACAAGGGAGGAAAATCTGGCCAATACTGATACCAAGTTGATGAAAAAACCAGGAAAACTAATGAGGCGTAGATCTGTGAGATTCCGTGACTCAGATAAACAAGATGAGGTAGATTCTGTAGAGCGTACAAGTGTAGATGACATTGAATCTCGTAGTATTGATCATTTCTCTGTGATTCAGCAGGCAATTGGACAGACTGAGGATGCTCTGAAATCAGTTGAAAAGTCTTCTCTGGGTGAGAAAGATGTTCGATCTTCAGGAGAGAAATCAGTTGAAAAGTCTTCCCAGAGTGGGAAAGATGTTCCATCTTCAGGAGAAAAATCTATTGAAAAGTCTTCCCAGATTGAGAAAGATGTTCCAACTTCAGGAGAAAAATCGGTTGAAAAGTCTTCCCAGATTGAGAAAGATCTTCCAAATTCAGGAGAGAAATCAGTTGAAAAGTCTGCTCTGAGTGAGGAAGATGGTCCATTGTCAGAAGAGAGTGTTGTGATACCCTCTCTCCCCCAGAACCCTTTAGGGGTGATTGGACTGTTTGAACAATTGAGTAGTAAATCATTATCTCTCGAGTCCAAAAAAAGCGAAGAAAGTAGTACGTCACAAAAGGGTGATGTGGAAGAGGGTATGGAAGGATGTACAACATCAGAGAATAAGTCAAGTCGGCCATTATTGAGTTGGACCAACAAGTTGACTGCTCTCAGTCAGTCACCACTTTCAACATCTCAGCGACAGGTCAGGTCAGAAACTTCACCAGACAGATCTCTGTCACCTGAAAGTCTTACATCGAGTCAGGAAAAAACTTGCTCTCCCCAAAAGAAATCGCCACGGAAGGGTAAAATCAGCAATTCATCTGGACAAGCTAAATTAGATAAATGGTTTAGTCAGCCATCTTTATCAAAAAGGGCAGGGAAAGCTGTAACAAAGGCTGAGGTAAAAGATAGTACACAAAGCTCTCAGGTTGTAACTGTCATTGAGGAGACACAATCGCCCATAAGGCATGGAAGTAAAGAGGAAATTACTGAGAAAGGAACGATCGAAAGCCCGCCACATCACAACAGGCAAGCTGGGATACGTGGCAGCCACAAGAAATTATTTGGTGGAGACAGTCGGAAGGAAATGGAAGACTTTATGGAGGATTCGAACATCATTCCAGCTTCTCCTCCAAAGTTGAGGAGTCAATTCTCCAGGAAGATTGGAACACCGGTTCTTATGTTGAAACGACTGACCGATGACGAGATCAAGCAGTTCAGTCCAACCCGCAAAAAGCATTCATCTCAGAATGGAGATGAAGAAACTGCTGAAGAACAAGTGCCACAGGATTCTTCCGCGGCTAGTGATGAATTACATGAACATGATGACTTCTCTGAAATCCGTCCGCTCGACAGTGAAGATGTTATACCAAGTTCTCAGGGATTCAATACTTTGACTGGTGACACTGTTAAGTCAGAGACTGTTGATTCTGATAAAAGTCAGAACCAGGACATCGCAATGGAAAAAAGTTGTGTCAAAGATATTTCAAAAAAAGGAAATAGTATAGAATGTTCTGAAAGTGACGAAGACATTGAAATGGCTATATCAGATCCAGAACCAACATCCTTATCAGAGACTAAAGATGATATGGATGACCTGAACACCTATGATCCAGGATTGGACTCGACATTCAAAGATTGTACTTCAGCAACACCCAAAATGTTTGATGTTAAAAATTTAGACAAGGAAGAAAGTGTTCAAACTGATTCTGCTGACTCTCAGGAGGAAATCAAGTCTGCTAGTGAGGATAGCAATAAATCCTACGACCCTAAGGAGGTTTCGACTATGGCCAGTGATGTGCCAACACCAGGTCGAGGCCGAAAACGCAAACAGACATCTCCAATGCACATGTCTCCAGATAGCATCAAACCAAAACGGATTAGAAGAGTTCCTAAGAAGTATTCAAATTTTGATGAGATAACTTTTGAAGCAGAGACCAAAGTCCAGCGAACACCTAAGTCTGGGACACCTCGGTCTTCTCGTAGGCCAAAACAAAGCCCACAAACTAAGGCAGCGTTATACGGAAAAGTGGAAACTGGTCCTATACAGGTGAAAGTGGATATACATGTGTCGCCAGACAAAACCACAGAACCACTTGATAGGAAAGACACTGAGGTGATTAATCAGGATGAACACATTAATGATTCAGATATTTCTTTCAATGTTAACAGCTTGAAAGAAAAGCTGCAGAAAGGTGCCATAGAGATCAACGAGTGTTTACAATCAAAAAGAACTGATGTAACTGCATCAGAAGATATGGGAATAAGTGATAAGGTAGATCAGGAAGAAATGAGTGATAAAATGGATAAAAATCCCGAGTTGGAAGAGCTGATCAGCGAGAAAACACCAGAGGGAAGGTCATCTCGCAGCACACCACACAGAAAGAGTACCTCAAAGACCAAGAAAGAGGTTATTCAGAAGAGGGCAAGACAAATGGAGAAAACTATTATCATCAACTCCGGTTTGTCAAATCTTGACAGCGACAGTTCTGAGGGTGATTCATGTGTCAGCAAAATAGTGTCAGCTTCAGAATCTCAAGCTGATGCAGGTACTCGCAAAATATCTGGAGCTACAGAATCGCAGACTGATGCAAGTTCAACAAAAATATCTTTGGCTTTGGAATTTCAAACTGATGCAAATTCTCTCAAAGTTTCTGAAGCTGTGGAATATCAAACTGATGCACTTTCTAATGTTTCTCCAAAGAAGAACATCTCCGAGTCAGTTCCTGAATGTGGAATGGAGTTAGGAGACAGCTTGGACAATTTTGATGTGCTTGTGATTGAATCTTCTGACAATGACAACACTTTGAAAGTTAAAGAAAAAGAGTTCAGTGAAACGGAAAATGGGGTAGAGGAATGTGTTACAGACAAAGACGGAGAGTCCAGTATCAACACAACAGACATTCCAGATCAAATGGATGCCCAGGATGATATTCCGTTATCATTTCTTAGGAGCAATGGCGAGAGTGATTCAAACAGAGTAAAAAGTGACTCAGATGACGACGATGTACCATTAATTCAGATTAAATCAAAAGGGAAGAATAAAGGTGAGGAGATTACAAAAGAAAGTGACAAGCTGAATGAGATTGAAAAAGACGATGTTGTTGACTTAACCGAGTCGGAGGAATTTACTGAAAAGAAAACATCTAGGAGAATCGGGGAGAAGACAGTATTTACAACAACGCGCTCACAGACTCTGCTTACCCGGTCTGGTAGTAAGAGGAGAATGTCAGCAGGAGTAACAAATAAGAGGGATAATAAAAACCTTAGCCTTAAAAAGACTGCCAGGCAGAAAAAGCAGGAATCCAAGGAAGAAAACAGCGACAAGTCATGTGAAGAAAATATTACCAATTCTACAAATACAGGAATTGAGATGGATATGGAGACTCCAGAACCCTTGGGAAATAAGTCGCAGGAAACAACAGAGATAAATAACTCCAAATTAGCGTCTGAAGATCAAAGTGAATGTAATGTTAAAAGTTCAGGCAAACTTCTGCAGGATAAAGAGATTGAAGAGGAAAGTTCTAAAAATCAAAATCAAAGTATACGTAATGTTAAAAGTTCAAGCAAACTTCTGCAGGATAAAGGGATTGAAGAGGAAAGTGATAACAACAACGATAAAAACTTTGAATTGGCCGAATCTCCAGTGATCAGACAAGAGAATGATTTAGATGAAACTCCTCGTAAGATCCCTGATAAAACATTCGTTCCAAGTGGTTGTACTTTGTTTGAGAGTCATTCCGACACTAAATTGATGTCGGCCTCACGGAAGTTTGACAAGAGCCGGCACGTTGTGGCGAGGCGCAGCATCTTGAAGCAGCCGTCTCCTTCACAGAACTCTGTCGAAGAGTCCTCACCGGTTACAGGCAAAAGATTTCATCCAATCAAAGTTGGTAATGTGCATTCTCCTTCGGCATCACCTAGTGCAGGAATTCTGAAGAAGCGACGTCTGAGTGGGGACACGGCAACAAACTCCCCATCACCACCTGGCAAGGTAACTAGATTGATCATGTCTTGTCAGTTGATTTGACTTCCATTTTCCTTACTATTTTCTGTCGGATGGCCAATTAAAAATTACCGAGCTTTGGTCAGTGTTAATATAATTACTCTTACTTCCTGGAAACTTGGTAGGTGTCATGAACATGATGTGTTTTTGGTGGGTAGGATTTGAAGTAATATGTTTACGACTTCAGTAGCTTACATACTTCCTGCTACTTAACAAATCTTGTGTTTTCAGCAGCGCCGGGTTTGTTTCGCTCATCCATTGACCATGGAACAAGAAGCTCAAAATCTTGCCAATCAGGAAAGTGGTATGATGAAAACAGATTCCATAAAATCTGCTTCTCCATTGGTCACAGCTAGCAGAGTGACTTTCTCATCAGAAAAGGTTTGTTTGATTTGTTAATTGTGGCTTGAATTGACTGTTGCTTGCCATTTTTTTTATTTTTTTTTTACAAAATTACATATCCTGATGCTAAAGTATATTCTGCACAACAATTTGCACTCTTGCTTCAAACAAAGTATTTAGTCTTGCAGACATTATGTTGTGTACAAACTACCTCTTGTGACTGTATTACCTTCGTACTCCAAAGAGAATCAACAGATTTAGTATTTCTAATCAATTAACATTACAAACAAAACAGTTTCAGAAACCACCAACTCTGCAGAGGGAATTATCCCGTTCGCATGAATGGGAAATATAACTCTGAGCAAGATCAGAGAATATAAACTAGTTGCAGATCTTTCATGTTTTAAAAAACTTAATTGATGTGTGCAGGTTACAGAATCGTAGAGACTTGTAAATTGGATGAGGTACGAATGATGTTTGTTTTGGGTTCTATGTTTGTACACCAGCTAAGGTCATACAGCCCTATTAAGACTGACTGCTTTGATGAGTGTACTTTTGTTTCAGTATTTTACAGTGCCAGGTAGTCCATGCTCAAAACCCACTGCCAAATATCTGCCCATGATAATGAGTCCAAGTGCGAAACATCTAAAAAAATCCCTGCCAGTAAATCCTAGTCCCAAACTGGCAGCACAATACAGTAGCCTGGTATGGAGGAGTTTCTGTTTGCTCTTGTTGTCCCACTGTTGCACCTGCATGGTTGATGCATGTATCTGGCTAGTCTAGATCTCCAGCTGTCAGCATTTCACACATATTCCTATCATCTTTTCTCTAATTTGCAGTAATTTGTGATTTATATCTTAATTTATCTGTCAACTTCTTCCCTACATCATCTTTAACCCAGCACATTTATCTGCCTCTGACGCGACATCTTCCTTGTCTAAACCGTTGTCTTCTTTCACATAGCAGTGTTCTCACCAAGTTCTGAAGTAGATGGTTGGCTTGAAAAGTCTTAAGAGTTGAATGTTCACATGCTATAATGCTGACCTAATGATGACCTTCTGAAAAAGAAGCTGATTCAAAGTGGATGAATAACAGCCTACTTTTGGCGGAAACTGACTTTTAGTGAGAACACTGCATAGTACTAGTTGTTTCTCTCAATTAAGATATGCATTTGTTATATTAAAACCTGTTCAATGAAAATTGTACGTAAAGGGTATGAGGGATGTTTAGAGATGTTAAAAATTGTACGTAAAGGGTTGAAAATTGTAAGTAAAGGGTATGAGGGATGTTTAGAGATGTTAAAAATTGTACGTAAAGGGTATGAGGGATGTTTAGAGATGTTTAAAATTGTACGTAAAGGGTATGAGGGATGTTTAGAGATGTTAAAAATTGTACGTAAAGGGTATGAGGGATGGTTAGAGATGTTTAAAATTGTACGTAAAGGGTATGAGGGATGTTTAGAGATGTTAAAAATTGTACGTAAAGGGTATGAGGGATGGTTAGAGATGTTTAAAATTGTATGTAAAGGGTATGAGGGATGTTTAGAGATGTTAAAAATTGTACGTAAAGGGTATGAGGGATGGTTAGAGATGTTTAAAATTGTACGTAAAGGGTATGAGGGATGTTTAGAGATGTTAAAAATTGTACGTAAAGGGTATGAGGGATGGTTAGAGATGTTTAAAATTGTATGTAAAGGGTATGAGAGATGGTTAGAGATGTTTAAAATTGTACGTAAAGGGTATGAGGGATGGTTAGAGATGTTTAAAATTGTACGTAAAGGGTACGAGGGATGTTTAGAGATGTTAAAAATTGCAAAATGATGACCAGTGGCACCAGGTGTACAACAATTTTTATTTACAGGGTCCCTCTAGATCTGTCTGCTAGCTTTTGCCTTTTTATGGCCAGTATTTATGAGAAGGGACGTCTCCATAGGAGATAAAGGGGAGATCACATTTATTAAGTTGTCAAGGCATATATAACCAGTCTCGTGAATACATAGCTAACACTCAAGAACGAGACAATCAGTGGTGCACACAGTACCATTTTCTTGAAACATATAAATGTTTGGTGATTAATGAGGTGGCCAATAAATCAGGGGGCATTATATATTGAGGTTCTTTAATGATGACTAGAAAGGTTCAGTAAATAACAATATTAGCAAAGTAAAAGTTGAGTTCATATACATACCAACTGACTTTTGAAGTTTGTTTGTTGTTATACATTATTCTATACACAGACATAGATTCATATATGACGACCCAGATTTATTTTTGCAGACTTAGATTTATATATATATATGGAGATTTGTATTTATTACATCAGATACATAGAGGCAGATATAGTAAGAGCATACATTGAAAAGCCATAAAGCATTTAGTAAGAAGAGATTGGTTTGCCACAGACATTGGTCTGATGTAGACAAATAACGATTCAGCCTATAATTGATATGCCTGGTACATGTTCCAGGATATTTTATCCTGACATTCAGTAATTCTCTGTTGTTGGAGTGGTAATTGTTCTGACATTAACAAATAACGATTTAGTGATAATTGATATCCATGTTCCGGGGTATTTTATCCTGACATTTTGTAATTCTCCATTGTTAGGGTGGTAAGGATTCACAGTTGACACCAACCCAGAACAGCTACCGAAGTACTCAGGAATCTCAGCTCAACAGCACGGACCCCATCTACCCGGAACTGCTGGAATGTTCTGAAAAGGTTGACAAGATCCTACCGCAGCTCACTACCTCTATGTGGTATGTACAGTCATGGTCACGTGACAGTCATATGCACAGTCATGTGACAGTGATTTTTGGGACTCAGATATTTGAGATATTTCCTGGGATAGAGCCCGACAAAGTTTGAGAATGAAAAGGACCTTGACCTTCTTTCAAGGTCACAGGGGTCAAATTTGTCAATCACTTCAAATGACTTCTTCTTAAGAACTGAAAGGTATAGAATCTTCATATTTGGCTTGTTGCTTCCTGGGATAGAGCCCAACAAAGTTTGAAAAAGAAAATGACCTTTACCTACTTACAAAGTCAACACTGGTCAAATATGTCAAGCAAATAAATGTCTTCTTCTGAATAATCTAAGAGCATAGATTTACATTATTTTGCTGGTAGCTTCCTGGGATGAAGTTTGAAATGAAAATAACCTAGATCTCCTTATAGGGTCACAGTGGTCAAATATGTATAAACACTTTCATACAACTTCTGAAGAAGAACCAAAAAGCATTGAATCATGTAATAATATTTGGCTGGTAGTTTCAACAGATGGAGCCGACAAAGTTTGTGAGGGAAATATTTGTAGTACAGGATAATATTTAATGAGAATATTTTGCTATGACTGCTTAAATATTCAGATGAGCGATACAGGCCCTCTAGGCCTCTTGTTTGTGGATGTCCCAGTATACAGTATTAGATGGCCCAAGGTTAAAAGTTTCTGATTCATATTTCTCATAAAATATCATCTGTTTATATCTGTTCAGGATGAGAGGTCTTGGACAGCTCGTGCGGGCGCGTAATATACACACAATTGGTGATTTATCCGCACTGACTGAACGTGAGGTTGACAACCTGCCAATCAAATCACCAAAGGTTTCCATTGTACGCAGTGTGCTTCAGAAGTTTGGAACTCAAAAAGAGGCCAGGAAGGTCAAGAACCAGAAACTGGACACAACAAATACTGTGAAAAAAGATAAAGGTAATGGTCAGCTACAGGTTGATTTATCATCTTTAGTATCACACTTTTATAAGGTTTACCATATACCTAAGAAATCGGTTCGTAAAAGTTTGATATAGATTCATGTCCAGAAATAAATACATTGGTGCTTGATGGTGTCGCAAGCTTTTGATAAATTACTGATGTATCACTATCACACTGATGTAACCATCACATTGATGTAACTATCACATTGATGTAACTACCACACTGATGTAACTATCACACTGATGTAACTATCACACTGATGTAACTACCACACTGATGTAACTACCACACTGATGACTATCACACTGATGTAACTATCACACTGATTTAACTACCACACTGATGTACTGATACCATTTTAAAGTATGGGGCTTTTTGAACACTAAAACAGTTCAGAGACAAAACACCAAAAATGGTTTTACACGGAAAACGTTTATTTTCAAAAAAGAAAAATATTTTGCACAATTTCGCATTTTTTGTGTGTGGCTGTATCAAATTTTTATCCTTAGACAATTCCGAAATTATCTTCACTTTAATTAAAATTGCGTATAATGTTTAGGGTTGAGATTCCTGAGCGTGTTGATGGTTTCTATTCCAGTGCCTATAGAAGGTGACGTTCCTGGGGAGGAAAGTTTATCTCCGTTGAAAAAACCTGTTACAGACCACAATTTGGATGGTGACATGCCTATACTGACCTCAGAAAAAGGTGCAATATTCTTATCAATTACCAAAAATCTATTGTCTATAAGTATCCAATTCCACCAGAATTGTCAACACTAGACATAAACGTGTTGTGACTAGCAGCGAGTCCATGACCCTTCACATGGGGCTAACTGCAGGTGGTGATCGTCAAGCCAATTTTTAGCCGACACTATTATAGAACCGTCGGAAAGTTTCTAGTACCATTATACCGCATCTATATAACAGCCTATCGCATAAGATTATGTTGATCACATGACGTATCTACCTGGTATATAACAACCTATCGGATAAGATTATGTTGATCACATGACTCATATGATCACACGATAACTTTTGACATATAAAGTTCCCTTCACTGAGGAATCGTAATCAGAATAGATGTATGGAATAGACAAGAGTAGAAGATGGTAAAATATTTTTTTGTCTATTGTAGATGGCAATGATGTTGACCATTTCACGACAAATAGCCATGATATGTTGGACAAAGTTGTTTACGTGGAGGGTCTACAAGCCAGTGATGACCCTTCAGATACCAGCCAGTCAGCAGAAAATTCAGAATCTGCCGCAGGATCGCTTCTGAATTCCCTGGAGAACATAGTGCGACAGTGTAATGATAAAACTAGGATGAGAGAGTTCAAAACTGCGGATATTTTTCAAATTCACCATCATCTAACAAACTTAACAGCGACTGTTATGAATGTGCTCAAGGATAGATGTCAATGTCCGGATCCCAAATGATGGTAAACCAATCCCTACACCAGCTGATGATGTGCTACTATTTTTAACTCGGTGGAACTTGTTATTAATTCAAACAATTTTGATTCTGCAAAACCAGCGAGTCTTTAGAATGATCAAATTCTGATACCATTCAAAGTTAAGTTGTGACAGGTAAATTTTGATCAACTTCTGATACCATTCAAAGTTAAATTGTGACAGGTAAATTTTCATCGACTTCTGATACCATCTAAGGTTAAATTGTGACAGGTAAATTTTGAAGTTGTATTTTTTTTACGGCAGCTCAACTATATTAGAATGAAGGCTGGAAGTGAATTTCACTTATTTTTATTTACAATGGTAGAAGAATGAAGTGTGTGATAAAACGGCTAACCACATTTGTCATCTCTGTTCACAGGGGTCATGCCAGCGGTCGCCAATAGCGCAAAATACGAAAATAATAATAATTTGGGAATAAAAAAAATGTAACTGTTGTTTTAAATCCTATAAAAATGTGCCCTGTGTCAGTACATAGCTGTAATACAGGTAATAATTTACCATCTAGCTGCCTTATCCAGGTGAATTCACTGCCCAATTAACTTATTAGTCTCGTGCTATAATATACATCATTGACATCTAGTTTACCAGGTTGGTAACATTGAATGATTGTCTGGATGAAATATATTTTTGCATGATACAATACAAAATGTTGGCAACTCGGAATCGCTAGATTTTGGTATTTACTATTTTGCTGCAGTCTAACCCTTCGTTGTTGGGTATAATAATCATGCAATACTCTGATATCATTGTCGTTGGAAAATAATCCATGTTGGCATGCAGGTTAAAGTTAAAAAATAATGATGTAATTATATTCTACATATTTGAATGAATTTGAAGCATCATCACCAAGACATGAAAATTATTATCCTTATCACTATAAAAAAAGTAATTCTAATGTGTGTCATGTGGACTTTTTCTTAATTATGCAAATTTGAATTTCTTTATTATGCATATTACAAATATTGGTTATGCATATAATAATATCTTGATCTTGGGGGGGAGCTGAGGTACTGGCGTGGTAGAATACATACAAATTTTCACTGGGGTGGTACATTAGTATATAATTAGTACAACCTCTTTACGATACCACCATTTGTTCAGAGGAACTCCTTTGTATTGTAAAGGTATTGGCAATAAATTGAGGGAAATGTATAAAGGAGTTCTTAAGAAAAAGAGACAATGAAATATGGTAATATTCAAGGTGGTAAATGGAACGAGGTAACGAGGGGGATTATATAAAAACTTGCTGTATGTTAAGTATTTTGATATTAATGACAATAATAAAAACACTGTACTTGGAACCCTCTAAATCTTGTTTCTAACGTATGCTATTATCATATCAATGCTTTCGAACAGGAAACAATCTCCTGAAGCTAAAACTCTGTCTCCTGAAGCTACATACAATAAAAATATATTATAGTATAGGTCCTGCTAGTAGAACCTGATAATGCCCAAGTTTTGTTTGAAATATTTTTAATATATGATTCATTGTAAGTTCTGTTGAGAATCAGTGTCATAATTGACTTGTAGAATTTTTTCTCAGTGTGTCATGATTATATTTACATCAATAAATATTGCAAGATCACTAATGTCGACTGAAAACAAAGCTCCAGATTTTTAACATGTTTTCAATATTTTTGATAATATGTACTGTGTTTGTTTTACAATTTTAAATTTTTCACATCAGTGCATATATTTTGTATAATAGTGCAAAATGTAACATAATCTAGATAACCAACTTTCTTTTGTTTCCAGGGAATTTATGCAAAATATATTTGAAGAACTTGTGTAAATTCAAGTGAGTTTATCAAATATATAACCTAGTTTTATAGAGTAAATGACAATGGATGCAAGGTGGGGTAAATGTAACCCAGTTAAACAATCTTTGGGCCTTCAAGTGTCTTTATGGTACATATATACAGAGTGAAGGTGTCTGAAAGGATAAAATGTGGATGATGTGTATCATTTGGATGACCTAATAATCATACATGTATACAAAATGTGTAAAAAGAGTTATGTATGAAGGCTGTAAAGATATATTTACTGGTCTTTGTAACTGAATTCTTTCTTTTAAAATGATATTTCCTGTTGTAGATTCGATATGCAATGATAATTCAGTTGATACAGAAACTGTTACACCATGAAGAGAGATACTTCAGGGTTAATTCTGGCTTCAATTTGTCAAAGATGCATTTTTCCTTTGACAGTACATGCAAATGGTAAAGTTACCCGTAGCAAATTTCAATCTATAGGAATATATTACCAAATTTTTCCCACATTTGTAAATAAAGTCTTTCCTATACAGGTTTATATAGAAACTTTAAATAGTACTTTTTGTATGATTCTGGAATTCACATGTATAATAATGTAAGAAAAATATTTACATGAAATCAAATTAAACTACGCACAGGTATGATTCACTGAAAATGGTGATTTCTTGGTGTGTTGAATTTCACCAGTGGTGAAAATGAGAAATTTCTATTTGAAGAGATCTAGTTTGAGAGTGGATTACCAGAGAGATTGATTCATAGGGGAAAACGTAATTAGTATTTTTGTAAAATTTACTGAAGAACATTTTTCAATGTAATTAACTTTAAGATATACATTCTGTACATGTGCCATCTGTATATTTTTATCCTAGATAATAAATTTGATATGTGTATCACTCTGGTATATGTTTTCTTTTATATTTATCCAACTTTGGTACTGTTTGATTCTGGTCGTGCGGGGCGATTGGCCAGGAGTGTAGACTTTGGTACTGTTTGAGTCTGGTTGTGCGGGGCGATTGGCCTGGAGTGTAGACTTTGGTACTGTTTGAGTCTGGTTGTGCGGGGCGATTGGCCTGGAGTGTAGACTTTGGTACTGTTTGA